GGATTTAGAAGGGGGGGAGAGTTAAAGGGGCTCCAGTGGTAGAGGAACCTGGAGAGGGGATGGTGGAGTGGAGTGGGAATTTTGGGGGAAAACATATGAGGAAGCTGCAGTGGGGGTGGGACCCACGAGGGAGGTGCCAGGAAGGTGGGTTTGGGCTGAGGGGACGCATACAGAGAGGGACTGGGGGCGTTTGCTGAGGAGGAGAGGAGAGGGATGCTGTGAAAGGGCTGCAGGGGCTGTTGTCGGGTTTGAGAGGGGATTTGGTCTGTGTGTGATGTGAGGAAGGGCTGTTCCAGAGATGTTTTGACTGTGACTGTGACTATTTACACCCTCGCTCCAGCCAAATACACCCCCACGCACCCTCCTTTGCGTTGTTCTGCTCTCCCATGGGCACCCTTTAATTCCTGCCTTGTGCTCTCTCCCCAGGCTACAAAATCCCTGTTATTGAGAACTTGGGTGCCACGCTGGACCAGTTTGACGCGATTGATTTCTCTGACAATGAGATCCGGAAACTGGATGGGTTCCCTCTCTTGAGGAGGCTGAAAACTCTTCTGATGAATAACAATCGGATTTGGTAAGCGGTTGGGTTTTGGCCAGAGGGGACCCTGGGGCAGGGGGAAATGCTCTTGGGAGGGAAATGTGGGTGCATCTTTCAGTGCTGGATGGAAAAAAAAATCAGCACTGAGTACTGGTTAGGTCTTCTTCAAGTTCCCTGGCTTTTGACTGCAAAAGTCTGTCCCAAGTTAGTCTTCATGTTTCAGACAGGGCAAGGGGCTGCAGGGTTTGGAATTTGACTGAACCTTTGGATTTCAGTAACCATCCCCATAAAGAGAAGAAAATGGGGATACTTGCAAGTGAATGAACGAAAATCTCGTATCTAGTGCTCTTACAGTGCCAGGTGGTATTTATTGCCAGCTTTTTAGAAAAACTTTTGTAAGGGATGCTTACCCAAACTTCTGCCGGTGTCAGACTGGGTTGTTTTATGGGAAGTTCAAGAAGGACAGGGAACTGCTGGAGAGAGTCCAACGTAGGGCTACAAAGATGATCAAGGGAGTGGAGCATCTCCCTTCTGAGGAGCGGCTGAGGGAGCTGGGTCTCTTTAGTTTGCAGAAGAGGAGACTGAGGGGAGACCTCATTCATGTTTATAAATATTTAAAGGGTGAGTGTCACGAGGATGGAGCCAGGCTCTTCTCGGTGACAAACAATGATAGGACAAGGGGTAACGGACACAAACTGGAACACAGGAGGTTCCACTTCAATTAGAGAAGAAACTTCTTCTCAGTGAGGGTGACAGAGCCCTGGCCCAGGCTGCCCAGAGAGGTTGTGGAGTCTCCTTCTCTGCAGACATTCAAAACCCGCCTGGACGCCTTCCTGTGCAACCTCATCTGGGTGTTCCTGCTCCGGCAGGGGGATTGGACTGGATGAGCTTTTGAGGTCCCTTCCAATCCCTAACGCTCTGGGATTCTGTGATCCTCCTGTGGATCTTTTCACCACTGTTAATTTCTGTCCTAAATTAAGTCTTTGTTTTTTGTTTTTCTTTAGTCGGATCGGTGAAAACCTTGAACAGGCTCTGCCCAGCCTGACCGAGCTCATTCTTACCAACAACAACATTGCTGAATTGGTAAGTTATCGACACAGGAGAACTCTAAGCAAGCTTAAATTTTGTGTTTGTTTTCTTTCTAATTAACCTTTTTCCTGGAACTACTATCATATGCTTTTGGCAATAGTTGCTGATTTGTCTTTAGAGTAATATCTCATTATTTTGGTAGTAGTTAATGGTGTGCCTATTGTAATGAACATGATTTGCAGTGTGCAGTGGAACAGCAGTCACAAAGTCTTAGTGGTTTTCCTGTTAAACTAATTGCAGTAATTCTTATTGGTCTCTAAAATAGGTATGAATTCAGGAACTTTGTTTTCACTAAATGGACTTGTGATTTCTTACTGTGTTCCCATTACATAGGGTGAACTGGATCCATTAGCAACTATTAAATCGCTGACTTACCTGAGGTATGTAGCCTTGAAAAGCAAAACTGCTCTTTCTCTGCCATTCAAACTCTGCTACTGGCCTGGCTCTTTGCCTTGATCCCGAATGCTCCCTTTTTAAGAGCTGTGGCAGATTCCCTATGATTAAAAACATCGATAACCAATATTTCCAGTACGCTTCAGAAATACCTGGTATTTAATGGGTGAGGCTTTATATTACTGACAGACTGCTGGACTGATGAGATGTAACATCTCTATAAACCAATATGCAAGCACTGAAGTAACCTTAACCTCTAAAAACCCAAATGCTAAAGGTTTATACTTTCAACAAAATACTTGGAAATACATGTAAACAGTGGCTTTAAGAAAAGTGATTTGTTTAATTGACAAAGGTCAAGCTTTTACTATAGATTTCATAATATCAAAGAACACTGTCACTAGGCTTATTTAATGGTGTTATTTGTGGTCTGTTATAGCAGAAGGTACATGAATGCATTTGAAGTGTATTACTGTAGTTTAATGTAATTGTACTTTAAAATATTTTATATTAAGAATCTTTTTATAACCTTTATTGACTTTGTAGCATTTTAAGGAACCCAGTCACAAATAAGAAGCATTACAGATTATATGTAATCCACAAAGTCCCCCAGGTCAGAGTGCTGGATTTCCAAAAAGTGAAACTCAAAGTAAGTCTGCTCGCTTCTGATTCAGCACAAGATGAATGCCTTTTTTTTTTTACTTCCTTGTTACAGTTTTGAAAATTCAGCGTTAACAATAAGCTTTTTGCCATAGTTGTAAATGTTACTGAAACTGTGTGTCATAAGTGGCTCTAAAACACACTCTTTGTTTTCTTTCACGGTTTAATTCTGTTAAGAGTATAGTTAAGAGTTTAATCTGTTTAATTATGTTTCACTGCCATTGTTTGTTCAGTGTGATTCTTCTCTGTCCCTCTGGTATTGTTGGTAGAAAGACCTCTAGAGAAAGAAATGAGCAATCGTGTCAGAGCCCTTTGCTTTCAGTGAAGATGAGTGTGGGAAAGAGCTCTTATTTGTAAGAGCTTTAGGGTGATCTGCCTTGAGTCCGAGCGTTTGGGCAATGTTTCTGTGCTTGTTCTTATGTCTGGTCTCCACTGTTTGCTGATGAAGATGAGCCAAAGCGTCTTTCTTTGCAAGGAAGCTTTGCAAAATGCAATGTTCTTGAATTAACTTTGTGTGTGTGGTATCGCTGTAGGAGCGACAGGAGGCAGAGAAAATGTTCAAGGGCAAACGGGGTGCACAGCTTGCAAAGGATATTGCCAGGAGAACAAAAACGTAAGACTGAAAAAACAAATTTACACTGGCATTCTCCTTCAGAAACACCACTCACTTTGTGTGCGCTACTGGGCAGTAAACGGCAACATCAGGGCTGGCAGGATGCCTGAAAAGCTTTGGTAGCCAGAAGTGCCTTGTCCAAGCACCCCGGTTTTTGGATGGTGGTGAATACATCTCAGAAAGGTTTTTTGAAAGAGATGTTTCATCAGGGTGGATTGATTTAAGTCAAAAAGCAGGAAATAATAATTGTATTTTTCTCTCTTTGATTTCACTGCAGAGAGGTGGCCATTGTTTTATTTTGCTGTGGTTTTTTTTCTCTGTAGATGATTGGTAACTTACTGGTTTTGCTTTGCCAGGGAATATAGACTGTAGAATGTGCTGCAATTAGGAGGAGGAATGCAGATGAAAATCTCCAGTTATTACAAATATATGTTTCTTTAGTTTAGTTCTCAAGTGCTACATCCTGTGTTTTTGTTTAATCTTTCATCTGCCTGCTTGGAAATGAGAATTCGGATCATTTATAACAACAGCATTTCCAAATTCATAGTTGAATTTAAAAATACCTTGAACGTATTTAGCATTTAAAACTATAATAGATGGATTCTGGATCTAGTTTATGAGTAGAAAAGGGTTCAGGTCTGTGATAGTTTTAGAACAAGTAGGTGATTGAACTGAGCAGCTCAGTTAACAGATAAGAAGACAATCTGCAGCTGCAGAAGAGGTTGCAGCACTGGTGCTGGGTCAGCACTTCAGGAAATTCTTTCCAGCCGATGCTCAATAACATCCATTTTCAGACTGTAGATTTTTTTTTTTCTTAAAGCAGCAGTTAAACTTTTTCTTTTGAGTGTTAAGATTACATCCAGTCTAGTGCAGGCTTTAACGCTGTTGTGATACCATATTAGACATGTGAGTACAGGAAACCCAATGTTAGTTACTCTGTTTATCCACCCTGCTTTTCTAATGGGAACAGACCACCTGAGTGTTCAACAACATCCAAATCGAACAGCTTTTGTCAGCTGCTTAATTTCTAAAGTTAAGTCGGCCTCTCTGTATGAGGAGAGGGAAAGGTGGGGGGGAAATGGGACAGCGAGGACAAGTTGCTGGTGTTTCTGAAGGAGGCAATTCTTCACTGTATCAGTTTGTTAACAAAGATAAGATACTACACTTGATTGAATGAAATGCTTCCAAACCTCGTTTGGAAGTTCAGAGGAGCACGTCCTCTTCCAAGTCTTTATTTTTCCTTTGAAAAGCTTCAATCCAGGTGCTGGTTTGCCAACTGACAAAAAGAAAGTGGGGCCCTCCCCAGGGGACGTTGAGGCGATCAAGGTAAATGTCAGGATGGCACACGTGGGCAAAGTGGAGGAGAAAGACAGTCAGATCAGAACTGAGCTAATGTTTTGTTCTTCCTGGTAGTGCCTGACTGTTCAGAGGAATAGAACAGTGCGTCTACCTTTGGTTTAGGTGCTTTTTCTGTAACTTTTCTTCTGTTACAACAGACCTGTTTTTGCTATTTTAAATGTAACATTGAGACCTTAAATCACAGAATCACAGAATCGCTTGGTTGGCAAAGCCCTCTGAGATCATCACGTCCAACCGTTCCTGTCTACCCCCTAAACCATATCCCTAAGTACCTCGTCTACCTGCTCTTTAAACACATCCAGGGATGGTGACTCCACCACCTCCCTGGGCAGCCTGGTCCAGCTTCTGACGACCCTCTCAGGAAAGAACTTCCTCCTTATCTCTAACCTGAACCTCCCTTGGCACAGCTTGGTGCCATTTCCCCTTGTTCTATCCCCCATCACCTGGGAGAAGAGACCAGCACCCACCTCTCCACAACCTCCCTTGAGGCAGTTTTAGGGGGCGATGAGGTATCCCCTAAGCCTTCTCTTCTTCAGACTAAACAAGCCCAGTTCCCTCAGCCGCTCCTCATCAGGCTTGTTCTCCAGAGCCCTCCCCATCCTTGTGGCTCTTCTCTGAACACGCTCCAGATTCTCAACATCCTTCTTCTAGTGAGGGGCCCAGAAGTGAACACAATGCAACATTGTAAATGTATCATTGTAATGTTACATTGAAATGTAACATTGTAACTTGGAGTTCTCCCAGGAGAAGTTTGTTTAATAAGAGGGGGAAGTAGCATTGTCCTTTGTCATTTGTAGGATTTTTCTAGAACTAGAATTTTGTAGAAATTTCTGTAGAAGCTTAGCTTCTGTGGGAAACAGTCTTGGTTTTATGTTTGTTCTACATAGACTGAAATGCTGTATGTGAAGATTCATTGTGTTCTCGTGTCTGTTTTTCAGACTGCTATAGCAAATGCCACGACTTTGGCTGAAGTGGAGCGGCTGAAAGGCTTACTGCAGGCTGGTCAGATTCCTGGCAGAGAACGAAAATCAGGTCACTCAATGCTTCTATTACTTGTGTTTCTCAAGCAGAAATCTCTTTACTGCTTCCTGATGTGATCTTGATAGGGAGTTAGGCTGGAAGGGCCAGTTAGGGAGCCAAAAAAACCCCAAAGCTGTGTAACTTTACGGTCAGAATCACTGAAGATCGTTACCTGTGCAGCCTCTGGAGAACAGTTTAGGGCTGACACCTGAACTCCTTGAGTACAGGAGAATTACTGTGATCTCTGAGTGGCCTCTGTGTGGAGGACTCTTAACTGCAGACTGGCAATGTTGCCTCTTTTCTGTATATTAGACCTTTTTTTCATTCCTGTAGTGTTTTTTAATTCATAGCATTGCTGCCCCTCTTCAGAGGGGTGAAAATTAACATTGTTCCTGTGGGAAAGAAAACGAACATTGGTGGTAATGCTCTGAAACGTGTCCTTTCAGGCCCATCAGAGGATGCTGAAGAAGAGATGGAAGAAGACCCGGTTCCCAACGGATCCTGAGCCCGGGCCATGCCCGGGCCCTCCAGCTTCTCCCCAGAGCCCTTTCCAACGGTGTTCTCCCTGTCGGGGGGGCTCAGGCCGACCACGCCGCAGGCAGCGGCCCCCCGTCCTTGCGCATTTCGGTGTTCAATAAACGAACGTTTCGTTTTTCTCCCCTGCGTGCGGCGTCCGCTTCCTCGCCGAGCCCCGGGGCAGGACCTGCTGGAGCTGTCGGGACGGGGCGGCCATGGCGGTGGGAGGCGGGAGGGAGGGGAATCCTTCCTGCACACTCTGATTGGTTCCCTTGCACTCTTCCCCTCTTCGCTCAGTGGCTGGCATAGTCATGGTGTCACCTCCTGTACTTGCTGCCGCCTTCCCATTGGTCCGCAAGGGGTAGCCTTACTTTCTGATTGGTTCTCTGGCCAAGAAGGGGCGCAGGACGAGGAGGGCGGTGATTGGCGGACGCTCGGGGCGGCTCCC